ATGTAGTACCTATATATGTAATATCAAAGCAATTGGACTTGCAGTTTTTAACAAGAAGTCGAAAATATCACTTTTTACCAAAAATGACAAATTGAATTGAAGATATCATCATGAAATGAACAAATCTGAGAGAGGTCTACCCAAGTGCATATACACCAAGTATCAAAACATTCAGGCTTGTAGTTTTCAAGAAGAAGTCGCAAAAGTAAAACATTGACACGGGCGACGACGGACAATCACTCATATGATAAGCTCCGCTCGACAAAGTCGACAGCGGAGCTAAAAAGTCTGTATGCAAGTCTAAGTTACAGGGACCTTTGGTCGTTTATCTCTACGACATCTCTATCTCAAGTTCTTGATTTGTCATGATGATTGTTCAAATAAATGAGTCAAAATGATCCACAAAATTCAAACCATCACAGTTGTCATTGCATGTGACTACAATTTGGTTTGATGATGACAATCTTTCGGGTTAAATGGTCATTTCCAATGATTTATAAACTGTTTATTACAACAACATAATTTATCCTAAGCATTGCATGACAACCATAGATTAGAAAAATGGCTTACAGGTTGTCCAGGTTATCATTCACGTGTCTAACTACCATATATATAGGGGTATATTTGTTTATTTGAAAAGACCTACGGGCAAAAGCGCCATTTACAGGCTCCTCACTCACACATACATCAAAATACAATAAATAACATACAAAAATATACAATGAGATACATATACATTTCAAAGACTATAATACTGAGACTGTATAACCCAAAGACTAATTTATTTTCAAAAAAATTCAAATTGAAAAAACAATATATTCAGTTACTCTACTACCAATGTAACATATCTTGGAGTCTATTACTGACATCTGGTTCTCATGATCAGCAGTGTAAATGTCTCCATTCTCTGCATTTATATAAATGTCTCACAAATGTTTTATTTTAGCCAAATTTTCGTAAATAACTTAGCACTAGTGATATCAGAATTGAACTGTTTGATATTTATAGTGTTTGATGCAATTTCCAAGTTTAAAGACTATCTGATAACAATTTAATGACTCCACAGATAGCCCATATATATGATATATACCATAACAGCGTCAGCATCAATGTGTTAATAGTACGAGTGAGATAAAAAAATCATTACTGCCATAGCTATTTAATAGTTACAACAATGTTTACCAAATACTACGTAACAATGGCGCTTCAAAAAAATGGTAGCCTTTGAATTTAACATTTACAGAAGAATTTCAGGAATAACATGGAAAAAAGAGAAGTCAAAGGAATATGTTTGGAAGAAGATAGTAGAGTTTATAAGTATGGGAAGGGAATCAGAAAGACTAAGAAAAGGAAAGTCAGGTTTTTGCACACCAGATCAGAGTTGAGGGATTAACAAAGGGGACAAGGATAGAGACAAAGGGGAAGGCCAAGTTGAAACTGGACTATGATTCAAAAGAACGGCCAGGATTATAGTTTTATGATTTACAAAGGGCTGAAGACAGAAATGGGTTGAGACAGAATGTCATGGAGTGAGTGCACCTACTAAAAAACTATGTTTTTTATGATGATGACATAAAAATACAATTCATAAACTTTGATTTGATTTCTGTAGCTCTAAGCAGCATGTAGCCAGGATATTCAAAATTTCATTAAGTAGTCGAGTGGTTGTCAACAAAAGACAGCAAGCTATTTAAAACCAGTCAATACAAAAATACAAAGCTGATGTACAGACCACAAAGAATGACCTTCGTTGACCCAATTTTTATGTTTTAATTGGCAATTTGAACAGTTGATACCAAGTTAAAAAAAGGTTGAATAATTTGCACCAGAAAGCCATTAATATTACTAAACTATCTAAATAATTGGAGGCGTGTCTTTGTTAAACACCTGTGGTTAACTGATAGATCCTTGGGCACAAGGTGACCTGACTATTCTCAAGGTCTGACCAACAACAAAATTGACCAGTGGCTGACCGGTTCTCCCTGCTCAGGTCAGAATGTCATTAACCCCAGATGTTTGCGAGTCCTGGGAGAATTCCATTTCAAATAATTCAATAGTTTATCGATTTTTAACAAATGTAATTTAAACATATGGTGAAGGCCAAGTGTATAAACTATGACCCCTCTCCTCAGATGTTCGCAAGTCCTGGGAGAATTCAATTTCAAATAATTCAAAAGTTTATTGATTTTTAATAAATGTAATTTAAACATATGGTGAAGGCCAAGTGTATGAACTATGACCCCTCTCCTAAAGTTAAATTAACAAAACCTTGTTTCCACATTGATTATGCACATAGTGACATGGTTATAATGGTAAACACATCAACAAAACTGCCCAGTTCTGGATATTGTTTACTTCAGTGTTCCACATATACAAATTGGGGTCAAGACGATAATAAATCCACCAATACAGTGAACGGCAGAAACCTGGAGACGTAATATAAATTTTAAAAATTGACCAATTTTAAAGTGTTATTGCAACATCATTGTGTGTGTTAGTTAATGACATTTCCAGTTGACTCTTTTTTTTTAGGCTGATTTTGGTATGTCAGTGAAGGCTTCCAGCATGAAACGTTAGTTTACCATATATCATTCAATTGGCAAGCACTTCATCTTGAATAAGTGGGCAGACACAGTTATGTTACGTGAATACATATATGCACATTATATCAAAATAGCCACATTGATCATAACTGTTATGGTAAGCTGATATTGATATTTCTATTTGGTTTGCAAAAAATTTAGCTATATTGCAATACTGCTGGTTGGGTTGCTTTTTTGTTCACAGTAAATATTTTACTGAAAGTTGATTTACATTTTTTTTTTTTTATTATTATTTAGTATTTTAGCGATTGTGTATTATTTAGTATAGCGATTTTATTTTGTTATTTAGCATATTGTTTTCTATTTTTTGCTTGTACCTGGTGATCCCCCCCCCCCGGGATTGTGTGAGAGTACATATGTAAATAAAAAATATAAACTAAGGCACAGTTTTCTGCCTTTCACTGTATCTGATAAAGCCAATTTTTATTAATGATATTTGGTTACACATTATAAAAATTCTAGGCAATATATACTGTATGCAAAAGCAAGCAGTAAACTGAAATTGTTAAAGAGATTTTATCATTTTTTTTTTTGCTACACTTTTCCATGTAAATGTATTTTATGATTTCTAAAGTTTAAGCTATCAGCTATTACAAATAATATTAATAAACAGATTCATTTAAAAATCTGTAAAATCACATTACAGAATTTCATTATCATACATGAATTTATAGTAATAAGTAAGACATTGTTGTTAACTTTTTTACTTCTCCCCCGAAATTGAGTGAGTGACTGATTGATTGTACAATAAAGAAATAATTCAATTACATGTAAACAATCATAAACAACTACATAAATCATCCTCTCTAGAAGATTAAAAAATCCCCAAATATATCCATCTTTGCTTCAAAACTAATGTGATTAACACAAATTTCCCACAGTAAACGGAAATAGTTACAAAAGATAAAAAAACATGCATGGAAAACGTGTTCTGAGTTGAACAAAGTGGATTTCAAGAACTTATCTATCTAAATTATCTTTATTTATTTAAAAACACTTCAACATTCCACAGAGGAATAGTATCAGAAAGAAATAAAGATGACTATCATGACCATTAATACCAATATATTGTTGTGGCTGTCACATAGATGGTGTGAAGACTTTAACTCACCTCGTAAATACTTGTAATACGCAAGTTGTAGAAAACAGGCATGAATAATTCAGCAGAGATCGCCATGCTAAAAAAGTAGGCCACCGCAAACATCGAAAACATCGTTCCGCTGATGTAATGTTCGGCTGGTGTTCCAAGGACGGTAATCGCGGACATAAACGAGGCGCAGAGGGACATAGCTACGGGTATGGGTCCCATGTTACGATCAGCGAGGAGAAACTCGCCGGCGGTCTTCTGTTTACCTCCAGTACACGCATGGTAAATACCAATACAGGTTGAAATGCATAACATCAAGGCAAACACAACATAATCGGCGATCGAAAAACGATGAATCCCGCCTTCGCCACCCATGACGATTTAAAAAGCAATGCCACAGTGGGTAGGACGGCGATTTGAGGGGTGAATAGCGAAGGCCAGGATCGGGTCGTAACACTCCAGTAGCGTGAAGACAGTTGAAACACCCAGCAGAAAGAAAGTCCCAGTTGTAAACAGTGCAGTGTGAGCGTGCTTCTTTTATACGGCCATCACGTGACCAATGTGATAATAGAATTAATCAGTTTTGAGATAAATGAGCGATGCGTACTTTAAACATAATACACCAACCGAAGACGAGACAAAACAATTGCAGTCTCGTTCAAAATGCTGTTGACGCTGATTCGCCTCGAACTGGATTGTCAAAAGATGTTCTCTGTTGTATTTTGCAACACCGCACTGGTTAACAGGTAGTTGTTGTTGTTGTTGTAACATGTACAGAACTTCTGTGATATTCAAATAACATTTGTACTCATAGTTGCAGTAATGTACACAGAGTTTATGTGATAGCTAATTTCATATTTTTGACTTTCTGCGACTTTCCATTCAACCCACCACACTAACTTTGTCAGACAACGCACCCTTTCCCAGCACCTACCATCGCCGTATAAACCTCACAGAATGTGGGCGTGGGCAATGTTTATTACCCGGTCTTGGGTAACTACGGCGAAAGGAAACTCTGGTTTCACCGCGACTTGGACGCACAAAACCGCGGGTTAATAGTTTTTAATAAATAACACTATTTATACCCTAGGTGTAACGAGTACCCTGCAGCAAAATAGGGACATGGGTGCCTAGACAAGGCTATTTATTAGAAGTCGATCAAGAGAAAACAGAAGCAAATCATTACTTCTCTTAGTGTTTTTTTGTTGTTTTTTTTTTTAATTTGCAAGATGGTGTTGGTATTTTTATGGGGCTTTTCCTCGCACTCAAAAATGCACGAGATTCGTGTCTTTTAGAATTTGTTTCACCATCACTCGTAAATTTTAAATGGTCAATCCCTTAGGCATGGTTACACACACACACACACACACATATCTTAGCAACACATGACACTAATGTGTTGTGTAGGCGTTATAAGCTGTGCCAGTTTTCAAACTGATTGATATGTCTATGTCCCTTTGAAAAAATAAACACAAACAACAAAGTACAAGTGTTCACATGCAGCAGTACATATACTAGACTGGCCACAGTCGGGCGATTTTTTCAAACATAGGTGTAATTTTTAATTAAAAAAAATATATGTTCCCCTCTCGCCGCCGCGGTGAGTGGGGATTTTGCGGTGAGTGGGGTATTTCGAGGAAATATTTCTTTAATTTACTTGAGACAGGACAAATATAATCTCCCCGACTATAGCCAGTCCATACATATACTAGTAAATGAAAGTAAAATGGATAACAAGTATTTCAATCCCGACGAAGAGAAAATAATGTCTTGTGGTGAAACAGTTTTGTACTCCCTAAAATATTTGAAAGGTAGAGATAATATACATTTTACTATAATAGAAGCACATATTCTTGCTGTAAATTACTTTATATGAAATAAGCATAGTATACTGTGAAATACTTTATTTTAGCTGGAATTGATTTTCGCTGAAAAGACATTTTGGGTGTTTTGTATGGAATTTATCTTCACTGATTTTTGACAAGTTGAATGTGAAATATAGGAAAAAATGTATATTCGCTGGATTTTATTTTCACAGGATCATCCTTTCAGCGAAAATAGCAAAAATAAATTTCAAGCAAAAATAAAGTATTCTACAGTAGTGGTTTGGTTTGGTTTGGTTTGGTTTAGGTTTTGGTTTGGTTTGGTTTGGTAGAAATTAAAACAAGTTTCTGGTTAATTTGGGAGAAAGGGAGAAAAAGAAGGCTGTGACACACACTGCTTTAACTCGTGTGTGCAATGACCAGAAACCTTATTTTTTTTTTACTCTGGTTCCAATAGTAATTTGTAAATGTTACGCTAACAAGGAATAAACATTTATATTTTTTTTTATAAATGATACAAAATATCATTAACAATTAAATGATACGAACAAACTAAAATGAAGCACTTTGCATCAAGAATGTGATAATAAAGAAAAAGTTGCACAAAAACATTTTTTTATTTAATTTTTTTCAAATTTCTTTAAATTCTGACAAAAACCTATAAAAAGGCTGTGATGTGCAGTTATATTATAATATTTTCCTTAGGGCCTAACCTCAAAGTGACAGTCAGTCAGTGTAGATATAAAAACTATCCCGCCATTAATAAATTATCAACTGTGTTAACCTGTCAGGTTCTGTAGCAACAATCCCCATGAAATCTACACTCTATCATAAATAAAATTAAAATATATTTTTATACCTGAAGTTTCATTTAACAATTTCAATCAACCTCATATCAAGAAGTAGTATAAGTACCATTATTATACATCTGCCACCGTAACGCCATTAGTTACAGCGTGCCGTAATTTTGAGGTATTTGAAGGGGTATTTTCATCCTACCATATTAGGAAATGCGAATTTCAAATATGGAATGATTACGCATGTAAGTGTCCTCTAATAATAAAAAACATGGCTGCCACCAGGGTTTGACCGGACTCCACACAAAGAAGTTCGCTGATTCTGTTCTAAATTTTTTAGATTTCGACATTCCCGTAATGTATCCTTAGAAGGAAAAGATGTATAATAAGGTTATTACGAGAATACCTCAAAGTATGCACTCAGACAGTACGCTGTCCATCGACCTCCGCTGCGCGTCAGTCGATACTGCCACTGTACTGTCTTCGTGCATACTTTGAGGTAGTTTCGTAATAACCTTATACATGTAGTATTCTTATAAAAGTAAGTGATTGTTGTGCAGTGAATGTTTGATTTCATGTAAACAGTATTTTACATGTGTTGTATATATTGCATAGGATCCCTATCAAATACCACATGGCATGATGATCACTGTGCTATATATTGTATGCTCCTTTAATCTCGCAAAGGATTAATTTTTGTAAATCAGCAAAAATTGTGTAATTTTGTAATAGAGACATTTTAGAGTGTCGGTGACTTTTGCAATTTTGTCTTCAAAAATGTCATAAACTTCTGAAATTGTGAATATTTTACAATTTGAACAGTTTACAATATGAATTATATATAATTGTTTTGGAGTTAATTTTTAAAAGCATACTTTGTGACTACTATTGCTTAGATATGTTGGGAACAAACAAGTTAATTACCGTAAAATCTGTATTAGAAGCCGTATCCCTAATACAAGCCACACCCATTCCTTTTGAACAATTGAGAACCAAAAATTCACCATTTCTCATATGTGCAGATGCTATAATAGAAGCCGCATCCCCTCTGTTGCATTGTACCATTTCAATAAAAGCCATGGCTTCTAGTACAGATTTTACAGTAATACATTTTTCATATGCAAATTATCCATAAATGACATAAACAACATGTAAGTTCGAGAAAATGCATCTTTTTACCGGAGCTTGGCTGGAGCTGTTTACTACAACGTGACTTTCAAGGAAATAATCCCTAGTGTTTTGAAGCATATTTACAGTATACCTGGGCCTTTAAGCATATTGCTTCAGTCAATTTTAGTCTGCTGATTCCATCACCATATCTTCAATGCATGCCATACAATGCTGAATCACTCATTGCTAAATAGTAAACAGCTAGGATTGCACAAGATTTTCCAAGAAATTGTGTGTTTTTTTTTTAATCTTGGGCAAACAAACAAAATATTTGTTGCATACACCCTATGGGACCTGCTTCAAATATGAAGCTTCAAACAATCAAATCGTGAAATTTGATAACGACAAAAATTATTAAGAAAATTATTGCAGTATCTGAAATACAATGCGTCAATTTTGTTATATATTATTTTACTTATAATTAATATAATTATAATATATAAATTGTAATAAAAATATTAAAATAATTTCATTTCATTTCATAATCATATCGGCTCTGCTTCTGTGGTTTTAGTAGTCGTAGCAACCGGTAAGAGCTGTGTTGTTGATTTCTCATCACGTAGCACATATTTAGCGTAGACAAATGACAAGTCACTTCCCGTACCAGATAGAAGACTGTAAAGAAACATAGTGTAACAATTATAACCTTGCCCTTGTTCATAGATACCAACTATATCAATATTTGGAATGCTGATATGTTCTGTATAATTAAAATAACTGATGGACACAGCAGGAATACTATAAGGTTATTACGAGGATACTTCAAAGTATGCTGTTATGATATTCTATTTTTGCTGTAAAATGAATGTATTTTGATAATGCCCAGTTAGCTAGTGAGGCTTGCCCAGCTGCGGAATTAGAATAGACAGCATGTATTGTCATTGCTAATTAATATTCTTTTGTTCGTGCTTGTGCAAGACGAACGTGAACACGAGTTAATCAAGTTGTCACCCAGCTCCCGACCAGTGCAGTGCAGCTCAGCTCAGCTCCGGTGCAGTGTCAACGTGGCAGCCAACGTATGTCTCATGATAATGCCTGACCAATTCGGCATGTGGGACTGATAGATGCAAAACAGCCTGCTGTGGTTCTACGCTGTAAAACCAACTTTATTCAAAGACCTGTGTTTCGCCAGAAAGCATGG